GCCACGCTTCCGGGGACAGGCAGCGCAGCGGGGCCCACTCAGAGGGCGGGGCCTTCAGGCACGGGTCTGGGGCCGCACTCTGGTCTGTCTGGCCTCTGCCTACCTTCCTAGGCCTCATCCCGAACCCCCAGGCTGCCTGTAGTGCCCACTGCACCCCCGGTCTCCCCCGCCGCCAGGGCCTGGTCATCACCCCAGCTCCGATGCCCCCCACCCACTGTCTCCATCACAGGCCCCTTGGGCACCTCCCGGGCACATGGGTGTTGCCAACCCTAAACCCAAACCCTTCCTGCCAGCTGGGCGTCCTCCCCAAAGAAGGGGCTGACACGAGTGTCCTCACAGGTCTAGGAAGGCCGGAGCAGGAAGCCCACCACTCAGGCCCGCAGAGGTGCTGCTTCAGCACAGCGAGCCCCCAGGTGCTGGAGTCCTGGGGGGATGCCAGGCCCCCCCACTCAGCGTCAGGGCCCTCTGGGCACCCGCTGCCCGCTCCCCTCCCCCTCCCCCTGCTCCTCGGCTCGGCTGTTCCTCCCTCCGTCAGTGCTGACCAGCCCCTACTGGCTCCAGCTGCCATCAGCTAGCAGGTTCCAGAGCAGCGGCTCCTCCTCCGAGAAGCCCTCCCTGACCAGCTAGCCCTGGTCAGCACTTCCTGCTGTGGGCCTGGGCACTCCCTTGCCAGTGATGGAGGAAGTCCCAGGGTCCGAGGCACTGGCCCCGGCCCGGATGCCCGCCGGGCGGGCGTGGCCCAACCCAGCCCCCGACCAGGGCGCGTCTGCAGTGTGCTGAGGGGAGCAACGAGCCTCGGGGACCGTGGGGCCGGCGCAGGGGCCGGTGCGACTATGAGCGCTAGGTGTGTGGCCGGGCGCACCCCCGCCGGGCATCAGCGCCGAGTCCCTCTGCTTCCAGGCTGTGTGTGTGCACGCCTGTGTCCACCGTGGTTTCAGCCGGCCCTGGCCTGGAGTCCACGCAGGGACCCAGGGCCCAGAGCCACTGGCAGAAGCTCCATTGTCCTTGAAGCAGTATCCTGCGGTCCCGCCCACTTCCCCATGCCTGCCGCCTCCCACCCTACCTGTGAACCCACCTGTGCGCACAGAGATGCTGGGCCTCGGCAGAGGCTGCTGGGTGGGCTGGCCGGCAGGGCCCCCAGCGCCAGGCCTAGCCAAGGGAGCAGTCAGAGCGAGTGTCCAGCAGCTGGGACTTCCCAGCAGTGGTCAGCCTGCCAGGGTCCGCCGCCCCGCCCCCGTCCCACCCTCCTGACCTGCTTTCACTTTTAGCTCGCTCTCCCCAGCGCTGCAGAGGCGGCTCCTCCAACCTTTGCCTCCTGGCAGGCTGGACTCAGGCCAGCCGAGGGGGGTGGTGTGGAGGGTGGCGCCGGGGGCCCTGCCGGGGGACCCTCTGGCACCAGCACCTCCATGGCGGCGCAGGGGCAGGGGCCGGGCCACGGCTGGGGGCAGCAGCGAGTCCTCGCCCAGAGCAGAGGGCTGCTTCTGCGCCCAGCGTGCCCTGAAGGCCAGGGAGGCAGGAAAGGGTCCTGAGGGGTGGCCGCCAAGGCCAGCTAGGGGCACAGTGAGCCCAGGCCACGCCGGGGGCTCTGGGGCAGGCGAGGTGGAGGTGCGCGGAGCTGTAGCCACCCCCAGGCCCCGGGGGGAGTGCAGCCCCCACCCCCATGTGTCAGGCTGGGGGCATTTTGCGGGGGGCTTGCTGGGGCGTCCAGGCAGAGGCAGCCCCACTCCCGCACAGGGGTCCGCACCAGCAGCCGGAGGAAGACCTGGGGAGTCTGCAGACCCCCTGGGGTGCTGTGCACAGGACACGTTGGTGCAGAGAGCAGGGGTGCTTCCGCTCAGCCACTGGACACAGCCCCAGTGGGGCGCAAGCCGGACGCTGACTTCTCCCAGTTCCAGCCCGGCGGCGCCTGGGCCTGCAGAGGCCTCCTCCCCGCGGGGGGGCGCTCTGGTGCCCCCTCGTCAAGGGGCGGGCACGCGGCCTTGCTTTTAAAGGCCCCTCTCCACCTCGTGCCCACCCCGTCTAGGAGTTAGGAGCCGACTGCGCATTTCCCAAGTACAAACGCAGCAGGCTGAGGCACAGAGATGCTGCCACGCCACTGCCTCCTGCCCCGCCCGCTGCTGCCATTGCCTCCAGGAAGCCCTCCGGCTTGCCGCTGGAGTCGCTAGCCTCCCCCACTCTTGGCCCCCTCTGAAGGGGGGGTCGCTAACCTCTGCGTGGGCGTTTCCCCCTCTGGCTGGCCTTCTGCCCTGTCTCCTCCAGGCAGATACACATAGGGGGCGCCTGAAGTGACCTCCTAGGGCTCCCAGAGGCGCCCTGAGCAGCTCTGATCCCTGAGTCCTGGGGCCCCTGTGGGGGAGATGCCCCCCAATGCGCTGCCTTGGGGCACTGACGCACAGGCACAGCCTGCTCAGTCTGGCCTGGCTTTCCCAGGGGCGCACCCTGGGCGACGTGGGGCTCCCAGCCTAACTGCCTGGCCCCCAGCTCCAGGGGCGGGTCAGGATCCTGGGCCTTCTTCTATGGGCCACTCCAGAGACTGGCCCTGAAAAGCTGGGGTGCCCGGGGCCAGGACCTGCTCCTGGACCGCTCCCCAACCCGTGCTGACCCACCGGGCCTATGCCCACTTCTCAGCCTGAGGCTGAGACCTTCTTTCTATTTCATTTCCATGTTGTTCCCCCAACTTTCTCAGTAAAATTCCTGTAGGAAAGCCCCAGGCCTGTCTCCGAGGGAGTGCGGGCACAGGCGAGTCTCGGGGGTCAGGAGAGGGCAGAGCTGGGGCTGCTGGGAGCAGGAGGCCATGCCGGGGCCCGGACCGAGGCCACCTCTGGCCCGAGCCTCACTTCACAGCTTCACAGAATGGTGGGTTTCGATGCCGGGGTGGAAGGGTCCACTCAGGGGGGACCTGGCTCCAAGTGGGGCGTGCAGGAGCAGCACTGGCTCCAGCAAGCTCTGCTGTCTGAGAATGTGAGGGTGTCCCTGGGGCTCTGGCTCCCGCGGCCACACTCCTCAGGGGGCTCAGCTCCCAAGGGCCGGTGCCTGCGTGGAGGGGTGAAGGCCCCTCCAGGTCTCTGCAGATGCATGGCCATCCCGGGGCAGGCCCGCTGTGTTGAGAGGCCGCAAGCTTCAGTGGCTGAACCAGAGGCAGGAGACCAAGGGGACAGCCTGGCCCTGCTGCCCGCAGGCCACATCCCCCAGCTCAGAACCCGAAGGGCTCCAGGAAAACCAATGCCCTCCCACCAAAGTAGATGTGCCTGGAGTCTAATGTTGCCCGTGCCTCAGCGGGTGGCACGAGACCATGTGACCCGGGCGCCCACAGTGGGGTGGGTGGGACACGTCCCGGGGCCCCGTCCGCTTCCTGTGTGCCTGGCACCATGGCTGGCACCTGACACGCTCGTGCAGCCCACTAAGAGTCAGTGAGTGAAACCCCGAGGGTCGGCCCATGGCCGCGCAGGCCTGGAGGTGGACAGCTCAGGTGCCAGGCGGCCCTGCGTGGTTAGGGTCAGGAGCTCCCATCAGCGGGCAGTGGCCACCGCCCGGTCTGGAGTGCCGGGTGCCTCGTGGGGCCCTGGAGCCCCTTTCCCAGGCAGACAGGCAGAGGGCCCTCCAGGGTACCCGTGTCGGGGTGAGGAGAGGCTGCTGCCCAGCAGGGGCGGGGTGAGGCCTGCTCCAGCCGGCCAGTCCCTGTGGAGGGACGGGAGGAGGGGCGAGGACAAGAAGGACCTGGAGGGATGGCCGCGCCTCCCGCTGTTGGGTCCCTGTGGTTGCACCAGTTTGCATTCCCACCAGCAGTGCAGGAGAGTTCCTTTTTCTCCACATCCTCGCCAACATTTGTTGTTGCTAGTTATTTGAAGACGTGCCGGTCTCGCTGGGGTGAGGTGGTATCTCATTGTGGTTTTAATTTGCATCTCCCTTATTACGAGTGATGTTGAACATTTTTTCATATGC